CTCCCGGTTTCCTGTTTGTTTGGACTCCCGGTTTCCTGTTTGTTTGGACTTTGTTTTTCATTTTTGGATTTTGGATAACCAGCTTCTGCATTCAGGTAACTCATAATTAAATCCACAAGAAATTCACCTCTGCCTCCCTGCCTATGCTTTTGGGTCAACAAACCACAACCTATCGTGACAGTTTTCAACCATGCTTCACTTCCTCTTTGTACAGTTTAGTTTAGTTGAGTTTCACTAGTTTTTAGTAAAGAGTTTTTAACTGAAATATGTTTGACCTGGAGCTGAAAGATTTTGTTAATAAACTCTTATATTTTGAACAGAAGTTGTGGTGAAATTATTCCATGTATGTGAAGAATTATCTGTTTGACCATGATTTGAGCTTGAATCATTCCTATTGATTCTAAACAATATATGACAGCCTGAATAATATCTGATTAAATAATATATTTAATCAGAGGCAGAGTCTGTTTCCCTCTTGTGTGTGTGTGTGTGTGTGTGTATTCCTTTCCCCCTGGCTCCCTTGTTGTCTCCTCTCACACCTGCTGCCTGTCAGCTCGTTAGCCCTCCCTTTATCTCTGTCAGCTATATATGCTCTCCCTCTGCTCTCACTCTTGGTTGGTTCCTTGTTGTTGCTGGTCCTGTCATCGCTGTTGTCGTCTCGTCTCTCCCTTGCTCCTTGTACGTGTTTTCCCTTGATGTCTTCATGGTTCTGGTCTGTTACATTTTTAGTTGGATTTTTGGATTCCTGCCTTTGTTAACCATTTTCAACATTAAAACTACAAGTATTCACCTCAGCCTCTCTGCCTCTGCATTTGGGTCCTTCAAACCACAACCAAACCCTGACAACAATTTTCTTTTTAAGGTCATCTCCAGAGGTTCTACAGGAGGTCTCAAAACAGAGCTGGACATCTTTATCTTCCATCTTCCAAGTCTTGTCTTCTGAAACGATTAATGATTTTGTTTCAGTAACCCTTCATTAAATGAATAAAACACACCAGACCTGATATAGCGCATGATTTGACTGAAAATAAGATCCTTTGAAGTTATAGAAACACAACTTATACAATATTATTCATCTTCAGCCTGTCAATATAGTATATACAGATAAAGATGTTCTTGACTGTTTTTTTTTTGTCAGCTGCTGTTCCCATTTCTCTCTGCTCCCTGCTCTGATTGCTCATTTAGCCCATGTGTGCTCCGTCCGCTCATTCTCATTGGTGCGCCTCCCTCCCATGTTTTTCAGCCTAGTTAGACAAGTGTCAAATGAATCGACAGGGCCAGATTATTGAAAGCCCTTGGTTAGTGGATGTAATACAATCCCTCTACAACTGATTGCCTGTTTGTGATCCTATGTCTGCCCTATGACTTCCTGATATGACATCGAACCTGATTTTGATTCTGAAATTTCTGTAAGCATATTTCTGCCTCCAAGGTTTTGACCCTGCACAGCAAAGTGCAGAATAACTCTCCTTCTGTTTTCAGCTATTCTATATTCACCAAGGAGCTAGCTAGAATGTTGTACCCCATAATCCCTGACAGAGAGGCCAAAAGGCTTTTCCTAAAACATGGTTCTGGGTCAGTGATGGCCTATGTATTTGATTTTTATGTGTTTTGGTGCCAGGATTCCAGATTCTTGCTTCCCTCCTCGGATCCCTCTGTGTGGCTCAGTGATATCAGCTCTGACCCTTGTCCTGTCCCCGGACCAACAAGCTCTGTCTCTATTGAAAAACAAATATGGAAAATCCTCTGCTCCACTAGTGCCTGCATTACACTGTTCAATTGTCTCATTTCAATGTCATTAAACTCACTGAGGGAGCAGCACCAGTACAACTGTGGAAGCCAGTACAACATTTTTTTCCAGATATATGCAGGATGAATGGAATAATTTTGAATCTTCATTGCCAAGACCAAGCCCTTCCACAGCCTGCTCCTCCTCCTGCTTTGCTCAGGGGAGCCTTGACTAATACAGACGGTTTGTAAAGGCTCCTGACTAGTGCCATGCTTTTCTCACCCAGTGTGAGATTCATTTTGAATAACAACTCTCATCCTTTTGTATAGATTGCTTATACTGTACAGGTTGCCTATGTAAATTCTATGGCAATTTGTCTGACTAACCTAATTTATAATCTTGTAACTCACTCAGTTTCCTCATGAACCTCATACGTGCTTTATCATTTTATGTTTAACTAATGCTTTGCTTACTTCCTTCAGTCCTGCTTTGTTTTCCTATTTTCATCATGTATTTTTCCTCAATGAATCATCATATGCAAACTGATTCCAAATCCATTCCACAATCACTTCGGTCTGTTGGATGTTTACCCAAGATACATTTAGATTTATTTAACCTTGTATGTTCTAATTGCAGTCTTGTTTTGACTGCTTGTTTTTTGTTTTGTTTTTTTGCTTTCTGCAATTACTTAAATTTCCCCTATTTTCTTTTGTATTTGAAATGGGTGTATTTATATTTTATGCGGTTCATACTTGACATAATTTTTCTTCCTGTTCTCTTTTTTTGGGATCCTTCATGATCTGACTAAGAACAGGGCTGACACCTAGTGGCTGAGTAGCTCATATCACAACAGGAAGAGCCAATCAATAAGCCAGAGAGCGCTGCAGAACAGAGGGGAGCTTGCATGTTGTGGAGAGAATTATGGAGTTTTTTGCAACACTGCTCCTGGCAGGGATAATAGGTCTGCTTTGGTTTTTCTCTGTTAAAAACCACCAGAAGCACAGTTTGCCACCTGGACCCAATCCACTGCCTCTCATAGGAAACCTGCCGCAAGTAAACAAAAACGCACCTTTTAAAAGCTTCATGGAGGTGAGTTGGTGAATCCCCCATTTGTTTTATAGAACATTTTTA